GATGTTTTTCTCAACAAGCGTTGTTGAAGTTAAAGTCGCCCAAGGCTCTCTTACCATTCATGCTAAGGTAGTAATCATCCCTGGTTCTTTCATCGCCGTTTGAAGCTCCAGACTCAGCTCCTGTAACCAGTCAGGACACATCTATACCAGACATCTAAAAATCAGCTCCTGCAACGTGTCAGGTACTCATTTTCTCTTTTGCAGGTATGCAGGTTCTCGCCAAGGAATCTCTTACGCAATCGAACATCCAGATGGCATCTATAAGCCCATTCCACCATCATTGCTAACATGTGAGCGCAAATTTCCGGGCACTCTAGTGTCCAATCATCTTTTACCTTCGGATTACGAAAGGCACGTCAGCCAATCTGCATCCTCAGGTCTAAGAAGATTGAACAGGGGCAACTGTTATACCCCAAAATTTGCCCTCCCATATTCTTCAAGAAATTGCCAAGCCAAGTCACAAAATTCCCCAAGGGTTGTGCAGGTCAATTGTCTCCTATACAGTCAAAACTAGGGTTTGTGTTCTGATCAAGAAAAGGAAGTGTTCAAAGGTCCAATCAAGTCTCATATGCTTACAAACATGGTCAAGCATCCTCATATCAAGTTTCAAGACATTCAGCTCAAGATTGCACAGTCAAAACCCTAAATTGCACTATAGTCAACTGTAGGGGCAAAATGGTCATTTGACAGTCAAAAGTTCAAATTTTTGGTCAACATATCATTTTGAAGCCACAAACATCATTTGATCAATGCTTGATCATGATTCTCAAAATTTGGCTCAGAAATCATCAAAGATGCAAAAGTTGCTATATTTGGACAGCTGAAAAAGTCAACTGAAATTGACCAGGGCATAACTTTCACATGGATTATCAGAAAAATTCCATCCAAAGCTCATTTTGAAGAGAAAGACATTTCCTACAATTCATCTTCATATTCCAAATCCAAGAAATGCTCTCACAAAAAGTTATCAATTTCAACATTATAGGTCATTTTCAAAAGTCAACAAAAAGGGACTTTAAGTCAAAGACCATAACTTGAGATTGGTAAATCAAAATGACATGGGACCAAAGGAATTGGTTAAAGGACTCAAAAACCTTTCCAAAATGTCCAAGAACATGTGAAAAGCTTAAAAATTGAGCAAGTTATGCCTTGTAGAAGTTGGGAAATTTTTGTGAAATGGCAAAAGTCAACTATCTTTGAAAATCCAATTTTTGACAAAAGGGTCCCATTTTTTCCACTTGGTTCATCCTTGTCATGCCACACACGTGTCCCATGGTTAATTTCAAGACCAAATATTGATTTTTTTATTTTATTTAATTTTTGATGATTTAATTCATTTTAATTCTTTGAAAATTCAAATAAAATTTAAAAACCAATGGAATAGTGTCATGTGAACTTGGACAATTTCTATGTATCATGAACCAACTCAAGAAATCAGGCTAGGGTTCATTTGCACACTAGGTCTAGGTTTTGGCTAAAAAGGAGGAAAAATGGTTAAGAGTGAAAACCCTAAGACTAATTCCTTCATGAGCTTGAATTAAGGTGAGTTAGCAAGCCAATTCCATTCCATGATCATCACTGAGTCAAACCCTAGGCCTAACACATCATAAGAGGCGCCCAAACAAGCATTGGCATTTTGAAATTTTGACATAAAAAGACAAATCTGATTTCAAAGTTAGAGAGTTTTTCAAGCCTTAATTCTTTTCCCATTAGCATCCTGAGGCAATTCTGAACGCATCTCAATCCCTAACATCAATCAAAACACCCTGAAACGGTAGCTACAAGTCAAACCGTGAAGCAAAAAATCTCAAATGGCATAGCATAATTCAAGCATTTTCTTTCATTTTTATTTATGTATTCATGATCACAATGATGTTTCTGAGCTAACCATGGTGTTTGATTTCATTTTTGTTGATCATACGCGAATTTACCATTTTCGAATGTTAGGGTTACAGGTTCTTTAATTTAGGGCTTTCAAAAATAGGCAAAATCAAAGCTCAAGACCATTGTCATTAAAACCAGCATGTTCCAACGAGCAAGAAACAACCATCGCGAACAATTTATGTAGCCTATATGGCTATTCGCTATTTTCCCATAGCATGCTTAAAACAACGCTTCAAAACCGTTGCTGTTGTGTTTTATGTTTCAGGGCACGCGAGGAAGAAGAAGTCGTGTCAGCTGGTGATTGATCCGTTCAAATTTGCGCGCGTTTGGCCATTATGCGTTGGTTTTAATATTTATTATTTGTTAACCATATTATGTTAATTGAAAGTGAAATGGCTCAGTGGCTAGGGAAACGCGCATGTGACCTTCAAGACCTGGGTTCAAGTCCCAGGTCTTGCAAAATTCAATATTATTTTTCATTTCCAGGTTCCATGCAGCGCTAGCATTAAAGCTCACCATGCACACTCCAAAATGCATTGTCCACGCGTCCCAGGAGATCTGATCAAGGGTTCAGCTTGAAAGTATACCATGGATGCAAGTCAACAGGCGTGCATGTGATTGGAAAAGTCAATAAAATTCAAAGCAATTGGGCCAGGCTTTTCAAATCTACACCCCCCTGGTTTGCCTTATTATGTTATTTTTTTTGTTTTCTTTCTTTAAACTTTCTTTTTATTTCTTTTATTTGCTATTTATTTAATTATTTATTTTTTTTTAACAAAATATAAAAACCTTCAAAAATCAGAAAAGACCAATAAAAATATAATTTTTATTTTAATTATTTTCTAAATAAATGTTTGTAATTATTTAGTTTTAATTAGGTTTTCAAATTTAATTCTTTTAACAACTAAAATCCAAAAAATAGAATTTAGGTTTAATGACTTTTATTTTTCTTTTTTTATTTTTTCCCTTTTTTCAGAATAATGTTATTTATTTATTTTCATAAATTAAAAAATGTACATAAATTAAATTAGAATTAGATTAGGTTAAAAGTTAAAATTTTCATAATAAACTTAAAAAATAATAGAATTAGGTCTAATATTAAAATTTAATTTCAATTAATTTTTCTTTTTTCTTTTAAATCTAAAAAACACAAAAATACCATTTTTCATTTAATTTTAATTTTAGATAACTTAATTATTTTAATTCCTTTAAAGGGTCCAACGCCCTCGCATTCGAGTATTTTCTTTTTCACGCGTTTCATTTATTTCTTTTGTGAATATAATGTACTTGTACCCAAAGCCATGTAATAGCTATTAGACATTTCTTTTCTGCAATTTATTTTAAAACGGGTCTGGATTAATTTGGCGTTGTAGACCCTCGCCCTTTGTAATAGCGTAGGACTTTTATCTTTTCCGCGCTTTAAATTTTCGCAACTTTATGACTGTTAAACAATAACATGAAAGAATGAATGCCCAAGAATAAAATCGAATCGTTAGATCACCAATGCATGACAAGACAAACAATAAACTGAAAATGACACACAATTCGCACACACCACCCCTAGGGTACGCCTCACTATTGCCTTTCGAAAGGTGGTCGTCGAGTAGAAGACGTCTTAGTAAGTCCTCATGATCCGGGAACCTGGCATGAGGGTAGCTTCTAAGGTGTCTTCCCATTGCTCCGGTGATCACCATGTCCCTATACACTCGAATTGACCCGAACACCTCCAACGGTGGTGCTACCTACCTCTCAATGGTGGGATAGCACTACTTTAAAGGACATCTACACAGACGAATTCCTTAGGGTAGGTAGGTTCTCATAGATACTTGCTCTCTTTAAAACAAAACAAATCAAATCTTTTCACACTAACACTTTCAAAAACTTTCAAAACAAACTTTTCAAAACACTCTGACGTACGAGTTAAACTGAAACTTTTCAAAGAATATTTTTGAAACCCACATTGAAAAGCAAGCAAACATTTTGAAAACACATTGAGCAAGTATCTAAGAGCCCATGGATAACCATGGATAGAAAGGGTGCTAACACCTTCCCTTTCTATAACCTACCTCCCGAACCGAGAGCAATCTCTTTAAAGGAATTTTTCTGTGCTTTTGTCCTTTCCTATTGGAGAAAATAAAAGACGGTGGCGACTCTTGCTTACCGCGACATTTCGCGAACCAGCGTTAAAACAGTCAGTTCCAGATCCACCGATCACACTCATAAATAAATAAAATCTTTCCAGATCAATTTTATTCTATATCAAATTTTACACCTAGACACAAATATGCCTAAATTTTTAATCTTGTCGGCCAAGATGCAAATTTGGGCTTTGGGTGTTGGATACTTCCTTTTTGAATTTTAAAAATTTTCTCTTATAAATAGCCCTCAAAACTCATACACAATCATCGAGAAATATTCAAAATTTCCACACACTTCATTCACACTCACTCTTGCAATTTCTATTTTAAAAAAAAAACTTTGGCTGGTGATTTAATTTGAGGTCCTCCTTTATAATCCTTCTCTCATAACCGTATAATGATTTTTTTTTCTTTGAGATTTTAGATTTTAAAATTAATATGCTATCCTTTTGCTATCTTAACCGTATACTATTTTTTTCCTAACAGGAGGTTGTTGGTTCAGATACATATAGCATAACATAGTTTCTCTCTTTTAAATCTTGAGTAGAACTTTGTTTTCTCTATTTAACAAAATAAACCTCTTATTTTATTTTTGAGGTATTTTCTGTACATATTACTGGATAACACTTATCCATAAATAATTACTAACAATTTTACAATCATAATCCATGTTTGTTTCTTGTTTGCTAAGATTTTTTTTATAGGAAAAAGGAAGAAACAGTCTGTCACGAACAGTGTCGGGAGGATCATCATAGCAACATATCTAATTTACACTGCTATCATACTGCTGTTTTTTTCTCTTTGCAGGAAAATGAAAACAAGACTAATAACAACAATCACCAATTCAAAAAAATAATTAAAACATAAAAATTACAATTGGGACTGGTTTTTACTAACACTTGTTCATCAATATGTATACAGATTTTTTTTCTTTTCGCAAAAGCAAGGAGAAGCGACCCAGATCGTAACACTGCTACAATGCAGATGGGGAAGTACCAACGACAACCTCAACAAAACCGTGACCCACTCTTAACTGGAAAACGCACACGATCTTCATGCTTTCACCGTCGAAGACCACGGCCTGGTCACTGTCGTTATCCCTCCGACGTCCACAGTCCTGTGCCGCTCTCATCTCTCCTTCCTCTCGCGCTCACAATCGCTCAGATCGTCGTTAGCTTCTTCCGGCCTTCAACCACCGATCGCCAACCGCCGCGTCACCATAAAAATTCGCCGCTGCATCTGCTAGGGAAAGGTGGAAAAGTCAAAACTGTAGAAGCAACAATGATATGCTACTGTACATCCTTTTATTGTTTCTAGTTTATTGCATTGTTATATGTTATTATTATTATTATTAGATTTTGTTTATGGTTAAGTTAATTGGGCCAAAAAACTCCTTCTCATGACACCATTTGGCCATCTTACATTCCCAGCCCATTTTTATCTTTTTTTGTTTGTTTGTTATTTAAATCTTGTTTAGCTTAATTTGTAGTTAATTGATTTAATTAAGATTTAATTTAATTAGTTAGTTTAGTTTTTTTATTAAGTCATAAAAAACTGGAAAATATATTTCTTTTCATACTTAATTTCAATATTCTAAAATACAAACAACTTTTTCTCAATTAATTAATTCAAATATTTTACAAGTGATAGGATATACCTTCGAGTAATTAAATTGGTCGACATATCGTCCATCGATTTATTATATTAAATCAAATGATTTAAAATTCACGTAATTCCAAATATTCCATCCGCAAGCGACACGTGGTCAATATCTGGCCACGTGGTGAGGAAGACTATTCGGCTTCCTCTACATCTTTCATGACAAACAACGCGTGGTCAATATCTGACCACGTGACGAGAACACATGAGGAGGAGACTATATCAGACTCCCCCGCTCCACGTCTTAATCAAATCAAATATCAAAACTACTAACCAATTACAAATTATTTTTTCCACCGACATAATCAAAACTCAAGATTATTTTCGAAAAAGGATTAAGGAGAATTATTTTCAAATTAACTGCGAACTGCGTCTACAATCACTCAACTTACGATCCAGACAAGATTCAAGGTTAATTCGAAAGCAATTCTACGCAATCTAATAAAAAACACCAACCAAATACGAAGTACGAATTGGGACTTTGATTCCTCATAAGAGGATACGTAGGCATACGATCAAAAATCGTGGCGAGTACCCCAAAAAAAATTAAAACCCTTCCCCCTAATAAAATTTAAATTTTGTTTTCCAAAACCTAAACCTAAAACCTAGTATCCTTGTGAACAAGGTAGATGAAAGGGGCCTAACACCTTCTTTTCGTCTAAAGAAGTTCAAAACCTAAAATCTCTGTCTGCGAATTAGAGTTTTCGGTTAGATTCCCTTCCTTAAGATAAAATCTCTGACTCTGTAATTAAAACCAATCACAACACTATATATATACCTTCGCTTGAAATAGAATATTCAAGAAAACTCGTCTCTCCAAACTAAAATTTACATCTTAACAACTTAACATAAAATTTCCTCCTTTTGATACTGCAATACAAATCACAACGTTCCAACACGTGTATTTTTAAACTTTTACTAAATTTGCTTCTATAAGCAATAACGTATATTAGTAATCTTTTGATGATAATTAATAATCATAACCGAAGTGGAAAGTTAATGTTCTAAATAAATTTCCTTTTATGGCTTGAAACCAAATCTTATCTTGTACTTTCACTTTATCACCAATTTTGGATTTTAAATGTGTTTTTTTTCTTTTTCTAGATAATCAATTTTGTTATGAATTTCGGCATGTGCTGACTTTTTTTTGATAATTGCTGAAGTCAAATAAAAATAGAAAAAAAACTGAATTATTGATACACCATGTGCTGTACAATAAATTGTCATGTGAACTTACCAGAATTGAATTAGCAAATATTTAATTACTTTTGGTGTTAAATAAGTTTAAGACAATTTCTAATAGTTGAATCACCTACTCTTTTTTAATGCCATAGTTTAAAGGGGTAATTCCAATTAGAAGTATAGTTGTAGAGGATTAAGGGAATGAAGACCAAATCAGTATATAAAGTATGAATACTCATCTTTTAACATAACAGTCAAGGGAATTCCAAAGTTTTTGAAGGAAAAGGAGAACAAGGATGATGAGTGGGGAAGGAAAGGTGGTGTGCGTGACAGGTGCTTCTGGTTTTATTGCTTCATGGATTGTCAAGTTCCTCCTTCAGCGTGGTTACACCGTCAGAGCTACTGTTCGTGATCCAAGTCTGTGCATCTTTTTCCTTCAACTTTTTTCTCTTTATGTAATAAATTTATCAACATTCATGTTCTTTTTGTTTCGGTTATATGATCACCCTTATGAATGAGTGGTCTTATTGGTGTGCAAGCAGGTAATCCTAAAAAGGTTGACCACTTGATTAAAATTGATGGTGCAAAGGAGAGGTTGCAACTCTTTAAGGCTGATCTTTTGGAACAAGGTTCCTTTGACTCTGCTATTGAAGGTTGTGATGGTGTCTTTCATACTGCTTCACCTGCTCGTTTTGTCGTAGATGACCCTCAGGTTCATTCCATTCTATTGTTTATAAATAGTTGAATCTGATGTGCTTTTTATTATCTTTGCAAAACAGACCAGTTGCCAGTATATGCACTGTTAATTTTTTATCTTTATCTCAGGCAGAGTTGATTGATCCGGCAGTGAAGGGAACTCTTAATGTTCTTAAATCATGTGCGAAATCACCATCTGTGAAACGAGTTGTCTTTACTTCTTCTATTGCTGCAGTTTTATTTAACACAAGGCCGAAAAATCCCGAAGTCATAGTTGACGAGACATGGTTTTCAAATCCAGATTTCTGCAGGGAATTACAGGTTAGCATTTTTTTTTTCTTTCTAAAAGTTATTCAGAATGAGAGCCTGAAGCTGACACATTTTTTTCTTGCCAACTTCTGTTTGAATTATCAGTTATGGTACATGCTTTCAAAAACTTTGGCTGAGGCTGGTGCATGGGAATTTGCAAATGAAAACAAGATTGACATGGTTGTTATTAACCCAACAATGGTTGCTGGACCTCTCTTACAACCGGAAGTTAACGAAAGTGTTCAACCAATTCTAGACATAATAAATGGTAATTCTTTCATGACATAAAATGCATATGGCTGCAACTCTAAAGTGAATTTCATCCTTCTTTGGATCAATGTATCATTTAAGTATTGATCGTTGTCTTGCTCAAGAAGTAGTTGTTTCTCATATCTCTGGTGTTACTGTATCTGTTGCTTCGGTTAACTAATAATAGTGACATATTAAGTAATGTCATGTTTATTTCAGAAAAGAATTGTCTTGTTGCATAATAGAACAACTCGCGGAACTGTTGAATGCAGGTATACCTTTTCCAAATAAAAACTATGGATGGGTGAATGTGAAAGATGTTGCCAACGCCCATATTCACGCGTATGAGATTGCTTCAGCTAGTGGAAGATATTGTTTGTCTGAGAGAGTGGTACACTGTTCAGAACTTGCTAAGGTTTTAGGTGATCTGTGCCCAACATTACAAATTTCAGACAAGTAAGTTCAATTGCTAAACCTCCACGAGTGCATATATTAAAATCTGAATTTCAGACAAGTTACTTCAATTATAAAGACACAATTTTATGAACAATCTTGTCTCTTTTTTTCTGTGCTATGCACTCTCTATAATTTTATCAGGTGCGAGGATGATGAACCATACATGCCACTGTATCAGATTTCCAAGGAAAAGGCTAACAGTTTGGGAATAGACTTTATTCCTTTGGAAGTCAGTCTCAAGGAAACTGTGGAAAGCTTCAGAGAGAAAAAAATTGTCGACTTTTAATCCGTTGCGATATCCCACTTAGTAGAATAAAATGTTTTACTGCTGTTGAAAACATGTTGACAGCATCAGGAAATGTTCACTTTGTGATTATTACATATTGCTTGTTGAGACGGGGTTATACTTGTAAAATAAAGTGTGTTAACTTTGTATTTATTCAAAGTGGATTAATATTGTTTGAGACAGTGGCGGAGCCAGGAAAATTATGAAGCCTGGGCAAGTTTTCATTAGCTTCATAATTTTCTACCAAGACAGTACAATGCTAATTCCAAAGGAATTATTTCTTTGAATTGCAATTACCTCTTCAATTTGTAAGATTTCGGATTTTATAATATATACATGTTAAAAATTTCGGATTCTATAATATATACATGTTACAGTATTTCAGGTGTGCTCACAAAATGAACAAATCTATAAAAGCCGAGAAAATTAGTTCAACACGCTTATTTGTGTGAAATTAAGTACTGCCTAAAAACACCGCTATCAATTCAAATTTGAGTTGCTAAGGATGATTGAACTACATCCTGGTATCTTTCGAGACCCTGTATCAATCATGTTCACCCTTATCATTTCAGCCTTTTCCCATTTTTGTAAACCTGCATAAAATATTCGACAGAAGCACATCTTGAGAATCAGCACATGTAGCTGAGTCTGTACCAATCATCTTAATAGTTTGTTCTGCCATTTTCATATCTGAATGAATCCAACAAGCACCAATCATTGCCCCCAAAATATTTTTATTAGGTTTCAAAGGCATTCTTTTTATTAGCTCATATGCCTCCTTTAACCGCCCTGCTCTTCCCAAGAGGTCTATCATGCACCCATAGTGCCAGATGTTTATTTCGATTCCACATGCCTCCATTTTAGATATTACTTCCAATGCTTCACTAACCAAACCTCCATGAGCACAAGCCGAGAGTACACTGGTAAATGTGACAGCATCAGGCCTTATATTTAACTCCTCCATCTTGCACAAATACTCAATAACCTCCTTGCATTTTCCATTGACAGCAAAACCCGAAATCATAGCATTCCAGCAGACAACATTCCTATCATTGTAACTATCAAATAGCACCTTTGCATGAACCAAGTCCCCGCATTTCGCATACATGTCAACCAATCCACTCAAAACAAACTGGTTCACACCTATTCCTTTGCATTCTATCATGTGATGAATTTGTTTGCCAGCATCCAAGTCCCCAAGCTGAGCACAAGCAGATAAAACACTAACAACAGTGAACTCATCCGCCTCAAACCCTTCAACTCTCATTTCTCCAAAAGCCTCCAACGCTTTCTCACCAAATCCATTATGCACATATCCAGCAATCATGGAATTCCAAATCTCCAAATTCCGAACCGGAAGGGGAATCCTTCGAAAAACATCCTCAGCCTCCACATTACTACCTTTCCTCCAATACCCACAAACCATAGATGACCAAGCAAAACAATTCCTTTCAGGCATCAACTCAAACACCTCTCTTGC